GATCAAAGTAGGGCGGTACAGCAGTCGTCATGACCGAGTCAAGCTAATTGGCGAAAAAGATGCTGCCTCTGCAACTTAAAAAAATGGTAACCAAAACTAATACCACAGAAAGCGCTGCAGTCAGTTTGTACGGCAAAAGGAAGGTGGAATCCGGCCTTGACTTTTGATGAAATCTTCCTTCACGGATCTCGTCATCACGCAGCCTCGCACGCACACACGCACACACTTTGGGTTGAAGTGAAACTGAGCCGATACAGACTGGACAAGTCGCTCCTCCTCCTTTGGCGCCTCGGCCGCCCGCGCCTAGGCCCAACGAGTTCAAATGGCCCACGAGGCCGTCGGCGGCCGATCGATACTAGCCTCGAGCGGGACTGCCCACCAATCGGCGGCGTCCTCAGGCTGGACGGTCTGTCGACAGACCGACCGGCGGACCGATGGACCGATCGATCCGTCCAGCACCCAAAGGTTCGACTGGCCCCAGTCGGTCGGTCGGTCGGTTTGTCGGCTCGACGTCTCGCGAACCGAGTGCCGGGCCGACGTAAAAGTGGAGGCTGGGAGAGGCCGGTTGATGCGACGGTGCAGGCCAGGCGGGGAGGGGGTAGATGAGCTCGCTCATACGGCCACGTGATAAAGTATCTCGATTCGAGGCTGCCGTGACCCCAATAAAGGCAGGCCTGTGAGTGTGTGTGGCGGAGGCCACGTCGAGAGAACAGTTGGACTCACCCGGCTCGATGGGAGCCGCTGACGTCGCCTGTCAGGCCCGCACACGCACACACACTCACTTGCCTGAAGCCCTCGGGAAAATTGCACATTCTCGGCGCCCTCCAGCCGGCAGCGCAGACAGCCACTCTCCTTTTGTCAGTCTATCATGATGCGGCCATATACACACACACACAACACACGCACACATATACACAGAGACACACGGATGCAAGTGGAGCACACACACACTCAACTGCTCCTGTGCACTCAAGCCACCGCAAATGACCACGATATACAGCCGCAATCAAATAAAGCTCTCACACATATAAAAATACACACACACACAACAAACACACACTAGGCGGCCTAATGAGGTGACGGGCAGAGAGTTGGGAGGCAGAAGAGATGATTATCCAGTCAACTGGAGACCACGCGGACTAAATGGGTGCGCGGATGTGTTGAAGGGGTGGTGACGGAGCGGCTTTGGTTGAAAAAGGCACCGGAGCCGGTGAGCTGATGGCAGTTCACGCGACCTAACCTAACCTGGCCTGACCTGGCGAGCTCGAGAGAGAGAGAGAGAAGCTGGAAAAGAGAGAGAGTAAAGAAGGGAGAAAGGATATCTGGGCCAAAGGGATTATTGGCTGGGTCGGAGATTGCGCCGGTCAGTGACTGCGGGCCCGAGTTGAGATTCGAGCAGGCGGCTGTTTTTCTGTCACTCCCTTCGCCTCGCTCTGGCGCTTTCGATGCGAGACGGCCAGCCCGACGTCGTCCCTGTGTCAAATAGATGAGTTTTCCGGCTATGCGGCACTACTCAAATGTCCTTCAGTAGTGGGTCGCATTGTCTGACAAGTCAATTTTTTGGCGAAACATTTTGCCAATCGGTTGAGTTGTTGCCGCATCTGCCTCGGCCTGTTGCTAAGGCGAACGGATGCAGCTGGAGTCCGAGTCGCATGCGCCGAAAGGATGGCACACTTAGTCGGCAAACTTGAGACAAACTACTGATCGCCTCAACTGTAAGTAGTATGAAGTGTAGTAGCAATCACCAAAAAATTAGCATACTGTCCCCTTGGATGGTGGGAAGACGAGCACGCCTGTGGTGTAGCCCATTCCTGA